CACCTGCAAGCTCCGCGGCTTTTGCCCCACCCTCACCAGTTGTCATGCTCCACCCTACTCCCACACAGGTTGACTTGCAGGGGCGCCCCCTGCCTCTACATCAGCAATTACGACCCTAGCACTGATCCCTGGTGCGCCGACAATCACTGACCGCGCGGCTGCTGATTCTGAGCTACTTGCGGCGTTTCATGACGCCTCTGACCACAAACCAGTTTCACCGTGCACAACGAAAAACAGTTAGCGCCTTCGGCTGATGACCTCGCTTATCAACATTCGTCATGCTTTGATCCAGCCAGCTACCTTTTGCTGACAATTTAAGCGACACTCTCACAGTTTTTTGCATGACTCAGCTCTTTTTGCTGTCTTTCTTGTGTTTTTGCCTGTTGTTTGACTGAACCATGAATGTATGATTCTTGTCAATTGCTGTGATTCTACACTGACCGCCACCTTTTACGTTGCTTGACCCCTCCTTCCCTCCGCCCTTTAAGGTGGGAAGGTTTGGGCGGCGGCATCTTGCACAGTGGTATGCCTGGCAGCGGCAGTGGGGATTGGATAGAATCGGAGAGGTGAGATAGAACTAGGTAGAGGATCAGCCTGTGTGTGTGGATGTGGGGAGGCTTGTGTGCCGAGGTTGGGATCCGTGAAGTAGGCCGCTGGTGGAAAGCGGGCCAAAGTGTCAATGGCATTGAGAGCCAGGCGTGTGTGGTTTTGCGCTCGTTGTACGTTGTTGTGGTAAATGGCAATGAGACGCTGGACAGGAGGTGGAAGTGTGTCAGTGAGGGGTTGATGGCCGATGGGAGTTTCGGTAAGGTGTTGGTGCAGGACGAATCGGTGGACATGGAGGTCTGTGAGGACTCCCATCAGAGCGTGTGGTGGTTGAAGGGTGTACACTTCGGCCCAAAACGATTGGTCTGCCGAAAGGTTGGTGGTAGCTGGTTGTGTGGGCTCCGAGGTTGTAGGACAGGGAGCTGGTTGAGGCGGCGTCGGGTGAGGGGGATTGTCTGTCTGTGATTGTGTTTCGTCAGCGTCTTCATTGAAGAGAAATGGGACCTCGGATTGTTCATCATAGTCCGCTGCACGCTCCATCGGATGTCAGTAGTGGAGGCGGTGCGCTGGATAGGGTCACGAACACCAGTTGGCTGCGGTCAGGTAGGAGGTGGGAAGGTGTATGTGGACTGTAAGTGATGGTCAACGTGAATCAAAGATGGTCGTCGAAAAGTAGTCAAGGGAAACCTTTAAGGATGGATAGGAGGAAACAGCGTTTTTTATCTTTTTTGACGTCGCGCAAGACGGTGAGAGTGGTGTGGGGTGAAACTGACAGCGCCATCAGCGGGAGTTGAGCAGTGTGGCGGCTTGCTGCTCGGTCAATGGTGCATCTGGGATGGGTGGCACAGGTGGGAACACGGTAGTGGTATTTGTGGTGGTAGTTGGTTGAAAGTGAGTAGGTGGAGCTGGGCATGGCGGGGATGGAATGGAAGTGGAGCGAGGTCGTCTGGTAGGGTGTGCTGTGGGATTGAGGTAGTGTTTGATGTCACTGGAAAAGTTGAAGGGTAGAAGTTGGCCATTGTGGTGAGGGCGTGGAATGGTAACCTGTAGTGGGATGCGTGTGGGTGCTGCGGAATGTGGAGGGTAATGTGAGCGCGGGGGGCCAACCCAAGTGGTATTGAGCGTGGGTGGCCCGGGCGCGCTTTTGGTAGGATGGGAACGTTAGTGGTGAGGATGATGGGATCCTCAGTGCTGGTGGAGGACGTGGTCGATGGAGGTGTTGGTGGTGCTGTGGGATGCGGAGCAGCAGCTGTGTGTTGGGTTGAGGTTGTCTTGGGAGTGGCTTGTGACGTAGTGCGTGTGGAAAGATTCCGGTAGGATGTGTGGGAAACAGGTGGGGCTTTTGCAGGTGGTGGTGTTGATGTTGTGGATGTTTTGTCTGGCACAGTGCGGACAGGAGGGCAAAGCATGGTGGAATGCGGTGGCGAATCTTCCTCCTTTTTCATGGTTTCAAATTTGACCTCGTTTGAGGTTGGAGGCTCGGTAGGCTCGGCCTCTGTTGGGTCGTGTATCTCATCTTTGACCTCGATAGGCTCTGTAGGGGTGGTGAAACATTTTTTCAACAATTCAAGTCACTGGACCTTTTCGCCTTGCTGTTCCATCGCCATCCTTCCCATCGTGGTAATTGAGTCACTGAATACAAGTGTCAGAGTGTGTGTGTGTGGGGGGTCTCCTGCCAACGAAGACACCCCCCACCTGGGTGTAAACGTACCTGCGCTTGTGATAACACCCCACTCTTCCACCGCTGTGGCTTGTTTCCATGGTGTTTGCGTGATATTCCCCTAAACCTGCCTCAATTTTAAGGTTCCTTGTGTGCTGCAGACCTGCACGCTACGTTGTCATTTGTCGCCTCGGGATCGGCTTGAGCTTGTGGCCCCACTTCCGTTTGAGGACCTCCAGGCTTCTTTGGTTTTCACTTGATCTGGTCAGGATTTGGGTACCCAGGTTGGCGTGTGGCAAACTGCATCCAATCAGTACGCATTTCCATAAGTGTGTGTGTGTGTGTGTGTGTGTGCGAGTGCACGTATGCAACTGGAAACGGTGGTGCGAGTTTCTGTATTGAGATGGGCACCCTAGCTTCTTGTTCTTAGTAGTAATGCCTAGTAGCGATGCTCTTATTCCTGTTGACGCCGTGTGAGGTGTTGAAACAATACTACCATTGGTGCTCGGAGCTGGGGCCTTCGTGACCTGTGCGGAAGTGAACCGCCAGACCTGCCAAGTAAATGTGGAAGCGATTACTTTACTATATATATAAATATATATACAGTTGATTTGATGCATGGCAGGCAATGGCCCCGTTCAAGTGATTTTTGTGGCCGTAACAAAATTAACATTGAGTGGAAGCAAACTGACAACTTTCAACTCAATATACATATATATATATATCATATGTAAATAAATAAGCAACAACATGTATATTGCTCAGCGGTGAAGTGGAAAGTGCTGAGGCGCTCAAGCAAAAGGAAAAAACTGAGATCAAGGCATGCAAGCTTAGCTGGGAGAGGCAAACAAGTCGAGTGAACAGTGAATAGCAAGGACGCGACTAGGGGCTCCTGGCCTTACTACTAGGAGCAAAGATACTACCGGGGGCAAAGTGAATAGCATTTTGTGAGACCTGCAAAGAGTTTTGCAGGTGGGAGCCCTCCGCCTTTTGGCCCTCATGCGAGATGAGGAGTGTGGATGATAGTGGGTGGGTGGGCCAAGATCAGAGGTTTCAAGTCAGACCATCACTTTTACTGCAAACAAACTGAAAGGACCAAACACCTTTCTACATGCGTTGCATTGGTTATCTTGTCCTTCCAACATTGAAAAGAGGCAAACAGCCTGTCCAGGATTGCTTGTGATGTTGCTCCAACCAAGACCAAATATTTACTGTAGCCGAGATTAGCCATGGCTGTTAGTTGAGATGCGTGCAGGACACTTTCAAACCGCTTGCCCGACAGCTTGTAAGAGTCTCAAAGCAACCGGCCCTGTGCGCCTGCAAGGTTTTCAACTTGTACCAAGATGAGTAGCTAATGGACTTCTCACATCTCAGTATCCAGATCCTTCGCGTACTACAGACCATGAGGTTGGATGAGTTAACTGCTCAGGATAGGATCATGCCGCACATTGCTGAGATGCTCAACGATGTCCACAGCTCGGAAGGTAAAGCACCAGCTGCAGCAGGTAGAAGGAAGGCAAGTAAGCTGAAACAACCAAGGTGAAGCGAGAAGTACGTGAAACTGCACGGCACCTAATTGATCTACACCATGGAACGTATTCGCGCCGCTACGCGGCTGGGTCCGCCCGCACCGGGGTTTGGAAACCAGAAACAACATCCATGAAGGGCTATCTGCTGAACCCAGCTACAGTCTTTCAACTATTTTTGCTGTGTTCTTTGCTTTCCTAGTTTGCCGTGATATCAGCAGGGCAGTGTACTGGTGTCCCACCGTCCCGGCTCTACCTGGCTAACACGAACCCCCAGCCAGCTAGAGCTGTACCATGAAGCCGCTGATGTTTGTTTGCGCCGGTTCTACCTGGCTATTTTTGACAAAATCTGCGAAACCCAACGTTTTTCTTTTTTTTGTTAAAACTTTTCCAAGAACGCATCAAAAATGTGCGTGCCCCAAAACCTTCATCAAATGCCGTTATTTACGACATTTTTTGCGTTTGATTTGCAGCGACCTTCAAACACTCAGGTTTCTTGCCCGAAAAAAAATAAAGAAACTAACAAACACCTCCAGCTAAAGCTGAAATCCTGCGATTGACTATGCCATCCGAATACACACGCCCCAGCACCTTCGGTGTGGGCGGATTTAGGCGAGCCTGGAATTGGCTCAAGTGGGTATACAGATGCCCGTGTGTTGGAGATCAGCTCAAAAGCTTAGGCGGCTGACACTGCCAAAGCCCTTTTCGAATGTGCACAGAACAAGGCCAAGCAATTTATGTGACGAGACAAGCTTGCTTGGGTTGCAGACCCCACATGCCAGCGTGATTTTCATTGAGCACCAGTGGCCTTCGCACTTAAATGCCTTTGCATTTGAAAGACTTCCAGGATTTGGAGCCCTATTTGGACAGTCTCATCAAGGTCCAAGCCTCAGCACGAAGGATCCTTTAACCCCAACACTCTTAGACTTGATGGTCTCGCTATGTGCAGGCCATGATGGATCAAGAAGTCATCCCCAGAGTGGTGAAAAGCTTAGCTTCTAGGCTCATTCTCAACTGCGCATGGCAAACTGTTTTCACCATGACATTTGGACAGGTCAACCAACTCTCTGAGATTGTCTTTGTTCAGTCTGCCTGGCCCGTAGAGTCAGGAAATAGCGGTCAACCTTTCACAATCTAGAAAAAACGCGATTCAAACATCAATTTTGTGTTGAGTTGTTTCTAGTTTTTTGTTCAATGGTACAAATAGCACGCAATTGCTCTTGAATACTAGCATGGTTAAAGCGTCCCGGCAAATACTTGCCCCAGTCATGGAGCTTTTGGCCACTCAATCTGCTCAGGTCGAAACTCCGGCTCTGGCGGTTGTGATGCCTTTGATCCTTCGTGGTCTCAAAGATCGAGATGAGAGGAGACTATATAAACTCTAAACAACCTCTTTCTTCTCTTGTTTTCTCTATTTACCCCTGCGGGTTGTTCCGCCGGCCCTTTTGGCTGAGGGGGGGGAGAGGGAGGGGGTGAAAGAGTGACTAGGGCGTACACGGTAGAGGTGCAGACCGCTAGTGTCTTTCGCTCACGCAGAGTCTTATCCTCTTAGGTCCATTGACCCTCTCTTGAGCCTTGAAGCAGTCAAGCATGGACACACTATATCAGCTGTTGGAGTGGAACCCTGTACAGTTAGGCTCTACTTCTCAGCAGGCACAAGATTCATGTCCACTTCTAGCTGATTGCGTATGTCGCATACTCTTTTTCTACTGCAAGGCTAAAACAGTCCAGCTAGCTCTGACAACTTACAAGAAAACTACGGTGCCATGTACTTACCTAATCCGGTGTGTTTCACACTTCAGAGAAGGTAATCTCATAGCTACTAAATACAGTGAGGGAGCAATAGCTGACTCACCTCAAGTACAAAATCAATTCGATAATGTACCTCGGCTGGAGACTGTACTTTTCGCTGGCGAAGATACCATGTACCGGCGCTCACTAGCTCTTTAGGGCCTGAGCTAAATCAAACTAAAAAGGGAAAGCGGCTTTTTCTCTACAGAGACCTATAAAAGAATCAAACGACACTCGCGTAACAAAGAACTAAAAATTCAAGACCGCGCAATGCAATGAATTAAGATGCCTTGCAAAATGCAAGGAGCGTACGGTCCGAGGAATAATCTTCTCGTGACGTGGTCTCGACCGCTTCCATTCACAGACAAAATAAACTGCATCAAAAGGACTCTCTTTCACATTCACATCAAAACACAAGAAGGAGATACCGGCAAATGTATGTACAAGAAAAGTTTTGCACTACAATTGCAAATCATGAAATGACTTAATCATCAACCGTGAATGGTTGTCCATTAGAGGTCATCTCAGAAAGAGCGGCTGTGATAGATATCATCAGTTATGCAAAACTGTCCATACCTATCTGCATGCCAAAGCGTATAAACCTGGAATGCAGGAGTATCTTCTTTGATAAAAAGTTTCTCCTCATTGCAAACCAGAGTTCATTAAAACTTTAGCCTAGCAAATTTAAATGATGGCTAGGAAGTGAAGATACTTCTGGTTACAGTTGATACTTTGCTTCCAAGCTTGACTTTAAATTTCAGCCTTCGCTCAGGAATTATGCCGCTGCAAACGATGAAGTTGCTTGATCAGAAGTTGGCGGCCTTCCTTTCTTTCTATTCTGCTTTTGTCTCTCCTTCCTCCGCACATTCGCTTCTTGAAGCGTTGCTGCTGTGCGATACTGTCTTCTGTCTCCAGATGAAAGGGAAGCTGGTCTGAGTGAAATAAACATTGGACCATGACTATCCTCGTCAGTGGGCCTTGAGCACATAACCTCTGTGTCAATCATAGCAAAGTTCTCTGAAAAATTACAGATGAACTCCTTCGTGCTCACTGTGGAATTTTCATATTCTTCTTCACGCATTGAATGACCCCATTCAACAATGGTAGACAAACATGTATCGCCAAGCCTTGATCCTTGGTATTCTTCCTTTTCAACAGTAGAGTATTCTTCCCAGAGTTTGTCAAAGTAATCTTCACACTTCTTGAGGACCTGTGAAGTTGAACTGTAAAAAGTTCTGGGAATAGGTGCTTTGATACCAGGATCTGCTTGTACACGAGCTTCTGAAAACCTGCGGATCCAATGCTGCATGGTGCTGTAATAGTAGTTAGCCATTGGCTGCCTTTTGTACCCAGACATTCTGTAGGCCAAACTATTTGCATCACCAGAAATGATGTCCACCTCATAGACAAAACACTCGTAAAGCATCAATGCTGTTTGTTCTCCTGTCAGTAGGTGGGCATCCACAGCACGGTGTGTATCAACATGATAATTACAGACTCTGATGGTATGCATGTTCGCTCGAGTAAGTGGAACACGCTTGTCTTCAGGACCATAGTCATCAAATTCAAAGTCTGCATCCTTGAAATCTTGACGAGGCCTTGTTTCTCCAAAACAAATCTCGTAGATAGCCCAAGTTACATCACGCTGTTCACAGTGACCAAGATCTTGGTCATGTCCAGCAATGATCTTGACATATCCACCTGGTGCCAATCTAGCCATCACTGCAAGATTCTCCCAATCATTGAAACAAACTGTCCAATTCTTTTGCTCAATAAATTCCTTGGCAGGAACAAGAAGATGAGCTTCCTGGAGAATCACGACATGTGCACGTAAAAAGAAGAGCATGTTGAAGAAAAGGTTGTTCTCAAATTGCTCATTCTGAAGTGACATGGCGCTCTGTTTGCGTGGCTTCATTGCACCATCAAGTCCTTGGAGAAACCTTGGCGTGGTGTACTTCTGACCACGAACCATGTTGCCATAGTTCCAGGATAAAAATGTCAAGGACTCTGAGCTGGCCAATAAATTAGTTCCATATGGTTCTTCTATTCTTCCCTTGAGGAACCTTCTGCACAGCTCTTCATAGAAGGTGACAAAGTCCCAACTGGGTCCCTTGGGACCATATGATTCCAGTTCATTCTTGAGTTCCTTCTACGTACCCTCCAATTCTTCTCGAGCATGACCTGCCCTTTCAAGGGCCTTTGGATCGACCTGATACCTGCCATCCAAATAAATGATGCGGTCATCATTGATGAAGAATCTCTTCAAATCATGCCCTCGTTCATGTTCATAACAAACAGGTGGAGGTACTGGACAGACATTTCGAATGGATCGAACAAAATCATTCTCGTCGATCCTTGACTGATAATGAGGATGGGAAATCTCACCCTTTCTGAAACAAACATGATTCAGCAATCTTGCATGAGTTTCCCTGAAGCGTAGTTGATAAAAGCCAATACCTGGATCTCCTGTAATCTCTCCAAGCAACTTCAAAGGTGAAGTATGCAATTCATAGGTATTGTCAGCTTTTGTTGTATCCTTTTCAGCAACTACTTCAGATGGAAAAGATTCTTGGATTTCAACCTCCAATTTCTTCTCTTCATCATCCTCTCTGACCTCTTTTATTTTCTCCACCGCCTCTTTCTTCTCTTCCATGGTTGCATCATCCTGAACTTCTTCATGAAATTGAGGATCAGGAATTTTATTCAGGCGGCTTTTCTTAGATTTCCGATGACCTGAAGTATCATCAAGGTTAGCATCCATCTCACCTGATGGTAAGTGCGATGCAGTCGAGTCCTCACCCTTCTCTCTTGACAGAAAGTGTGGTGTTGACTCTTCCTTGGCTTCCTCCTGGTCAACTTCCATCTTTGGTTCCTCTGAAGGAAATTGTTCTGCAACATTCTTGGTGAGCAAGTCCTCTACAAGATTTTCTCCCTCGGTTCTTGGTAGAGGTCCTGAGGTCTCATAAAAATCTGTCCTCTCTGAACTGAAAGTTTCTGTCGCCTTCTCATTGTCCTTTTGGTCCCTGAACAGGTGAGTAATCTTCACAGCTTCTCCTTGTAGCACCTGATCACCTCCTCTGTACTTGTCGACAATGGAGCGCCATACTGGAACATCATCATCATCAAAATCAAGCTCCATATCATCTGCCAACAGGTATGAGATGTTTTGAGCTGCCTGTTCTTCTTCTTCATCACGTTCCTTGGCAAGCTCTTCACCCTTCTGGATCTTGAAGATACCCTTCAGGATGTCTTGTAGTACCTTTAAGTTCAGCTTCGATGATGGCTCATACGTCCCTGAACTTGCAGGCTCAACTACAACACGAGAGCAAGAAATCGCCTCCAAAAACTTGGAATTGTATTGGCGTTCAAACTCTTCCTTCTTGATCATCTCATACAAGGGATCAGAAACTGCAACACGCGCCTGAACATAATCACGAAGTTGATAACATGCATGTTGCGCAAATCTACTGTTGGAGTTGTGAAGAAAACTCTCCAAATGGTTCCTGTCACGGTCAATCAAATACCACACAATCCTTGCAGAAAAACGAAATTTCTTGAAGTTCATAGCAAAATGTGTATGATACTTCTCTGGATTCGTTTCTGCATATAATGCGGCCTCTGAAGTCTTGTAAACAGGGAGATTTGTGTGTGGATCCAAAATCATAAACTCTTCCCACAAGATCGAATGCTTAAGAACCCACTTGGGAAGCACCTTGATGAAAAAGTCACAAACAAGTTCAGACAAAAGGTGCATGACACGGCCAATCTCTTCCTCCTGCTTGAACCGATAGTGCAATTTGGCAAACAAGGGATTGTTGAATGCTTCCTCCACTGTATTGCCAAAATTATCCCACTGAGGTTCTGGAATACCAAAGTTCCAACCCAGCAATTTGGGATCTCTGCACATATCCAAGAAGCTTGAAAGCTCTACAGAAGAAATGCCATGGTCTGTCAGAATTTCAGCCCAGCGGCGTCCATTCTCCCAAGCACGGATGAAGAAAAACTGTTGGTATCCAGTTTGTGCCAACTCCATCCACTGAGAAATTCCGGGTTCAAAACTCGGTGCATACGTCTTGGGGTCTTCCTCTGTTCCATAAACACTTGGACGTAGCAACTTATACCTTCTACAAAAATACTCTCTCTGGTGCCTTGTCAACCTGTCCCAATCCCTCACGAGGATCACGTCTTCTCCAGTGCTCTGGAGTACACGTGTCCCTACACGATCACGGAGTGATACCATACCAATGTCATATATCATCCATGGGTTGAGAACCAGGTTGTTGACATTCTGAATGAACCATGTCATCTCACGCTCAGCAACATGAGCAGAGTCATCTTCTTCATCTTGTTGAGGTTCTTCAGAAGTCCTGGCTGTTGGTCTCCTGGAAGTGATGTCTCTCCATAGGTGGTCAAAGCGAATCACTTCCTCATCAGCCTTCACCAGATTTTGCTGATCCTTGCTCAGAACTAACGGGTGTACCATAAACAAGGACCTTGAGGTAACACCATCTCCATCGACAATCAA